TTTTGAAGTAAATCTCTAAAGAAGCTCAAAGAATAGCACATGATCTTCACTATAGGTAGCAAATCTATATAAAATGTAATACAGTATGCATATCCATTGCCAAATATATCTATATTCATTGCCATATATATATCTATCTGCAAAAACATACATAAGTGGTTTCATAGTTGGAGTTCATTAAATTTCCAAATTGACAGCGTGGAACATCCAGGCAGGAAAATAAAGTTCATACAGTAGGACTAGTAACCAAGAACAAGAAACTCTCACCAACTCTTTCAAATTGCTTCACTCGATCTTTTATTTCTTGCACTGATAGTGGAGGTTTATCCGCATTTACTGCCGAAATTTCGAAACATGGCTATGTAGTAAAAATAGGTCCTAAGTCATTTAGAGTCTCAAGTAAAAACTGACAAGTTGCCTAAAATGGCAATCTCCAACTTCATCAATCATCTAGAGAAATTGATATCGAGTTTGGCTCCATGGTTGTAGTTAACAACTCTGCATTAAATTCACGATGAAAATGAGAATTAACGTATCCATTGAAACATAGAAGGGTATTAATATTCTACAACCATATTTTTTCACCTGACTCAAAGATTTCGAGTTCTTCGAAGTCCTCTTCAATCGAACGTGAAAGTGGCGCGGATCGTAACCAATCTTGAGCACATATAAGAGCCTCCACCATGTTTGGGGTTAAAGAGCTACGAAACACATCAAGCACACGGCCTCCTGTACTAAATGCAGCCTCTGATGCTACAGTTGAGACGGGCACGGCCAAAATATCTCGAGCAATGGAACAAAGGATAGGATATCTTGAAGAATTTATTTTCCACCAACTTAAGATGTCAAACTCAACGCTATAACGTTCACATCCTTCCTCCAAATACTTGTCCAATTCAGATTTTTCTTCCAAATATTGTTGTCCGGTTTCGCTAAGATACATTGCAGTCATAATATCAGCACCAACCACCGGAGACTTTGACACATTAATCATCCTTGTGCTCTTTAGCCTCAAGTTGCTTTGGGGGCATACACCAGTGCGGTATTGCTCAAACAAAGACGTCAGAGATGCTATTACTTTATCTTGTAAAGTTTCCGCCTGCTTGCTTTCATAAACACGATTAATCATCCACTTCACATATTCCCACTTATGCCGCGGGTCAAGTATACAAGCAATGAATAAAGTAAGATTGATGTTGTTCACATTGCCAAAATACTTATTGAATTTGATCTTCATTCTCTTAGCCATTTCCTGTAAAGTCGGGTCCTCATTTTCACAACATCTGTCAATCATGATATAAATCCCATACACATCCTTCGCCATATCATTACTAGTGACATAAGAAGAACCCGAAACTTTTAAAGTCGTATCAAAGAACAACTTCAGAAAAGGAAGAAAGTGACGGGCATACTCCCAATCATCACTAGTGGGCAATCCTTTCACCTTGGAAAGCTCCTCAACAAATTTTCCATCTTGAAATTCTAATGAGCTAAAAGCTGTTTGAAACTTCAAAGCTGCTTCCAACATTATATATGTCGAGTTCCAACGAGTCTCGACATCCAAACATACAAGACTCTTGGACTCAATTTTCTCTAGCTCAATACAACCTTTAAACCGTCTCAACCTCGCAGGAGAAGACCTCACATAACGCACGGCTGAACGTATTCTAACAATCGAATCATTTATGTCTTTCAACCCCTCTCTCACAATCAAACTCAATATGTGAGCACAACACCTCATGTGAAGCAACTCACCTCTCAATACCAGAGAATTCCGAGAGTTAAGTCTTTTCTTCAAATATTGAATTCCCAAGTCATTTGAGCTAGCATTATCTACGGTGATAGAAAAAATGCTTTGAATCCCCCAATCAATCAAGCATTTCTCAACCGCTTTTCCTATTATCTCGGCAGAATGACCCGGGATTTGACAAAAATTTAATATTTTCTTATGCAGTTTCCAATCGGCATCAACAAAATGAGCAGTAAGACACATATAGCTCAAATTTTGACAAGAAGTCCATGTGTCTGTTGTAATACACACTCTTGGAGATGTCTCCAAGAAATATTTCTTCAACTTACTTCTTTCATCCGTGTATAAATCATAACATTTGCGCCTCAAAGTGTTGCGCGATGGGATTAAGAAATTTGGCTGGATTTTGTTTACAAATCGCCGAAATCCCTCGTGCTCTACCAACTTAAAAGGCAATTCATCAAGAATAAACATGATCGCCAATTCTTTTCCACTATCATCTTGGTCAAATTTCCAAGGACCCGAGTCACTTTTTTGCCTTTTCTCGACATTTGCATATGGGAATTCCTTACATCTAGCTAAATGACGATGCATCGAACTGGTCCCTTGACCACTAGCACAACCAATACAGGCCCCACAGTATATACATTCAGCCTTTTCTTCATCAGGAATATGTTTAAAGTGTTCCCATACCGAAGATCTCGTCCTTCTTTGTGTCACACTAGAAACACTTGTCTCAGACATTTAGCAATCCTTTTATCTATGACACTTAGAACCTGGGAAAGTATTACTATAATCAGAAATGTAGTCCTCAACATACTCTTGACAAATACAAATGGATACCAAACAAAAAGATGCCTCTCCTGTTAAGGTAGATGGTGCTTTTCAGGTGGACCTTTGATCTTATTAATGAAGTTTATTGATGTGCATGATGCTAAATGAAAAAAGTCCATGTCCACGAAATGCCATCGTCTAAAGCAACCAACCAAACAACCTGAACCCTTCAGTTTTAAAAAGCTGATACATTTTCTGTTTAAAGTATTGATATGCTCATAATTACCTTCTGATCATCATGCTTCACCATCGATTTTACATCTCTAAAACTGGCTTCTAAGTCATTCTCAACAAAAGTTTTGACATAACACAACCAAGAACAGATTCTGATCCCAGAAACATCTCAAGAGTTGTCATTTCTACTCCAAATTATTGATTACAGGATAACTAAATCAGAAGATGTTGAATTCCCAAATTCTATCACAAAAGTTCTCACTTAATTACTAATCATATTACACCACTCATACCACTTCCACAACAGAAATTGCATAAAGCTGGCACTGTGTAGGTGAAGATATAACTCATAAATGAATGCAACCTAAATTTTGCAAATCATTGGCAGATGGCCAAATTGTTCCTCTCTATCAAAAAAATGCAGTAAAATGACTTCAAGCAAGATGGATTGACGTATACCAGACATCCCAGCATTCAAGCACTTGGCGATTATATCAGCTGATCGTGATTTTGGGCCGAGAGTCCCCACTATCTTCGTCATTGCAGGAAAGAATGTCTGCCACATTCAAGACCACGTCAGATTAACATGAAAACTCTACTTATTCATTTCTATATACAGCTTGATAAAAACCCTCATAATTGCAATAAGACTTCCACATAAACCAAGCTCACCACCATCAACTTTTCTCAAAGATTCCACTCAACCAGTCTAAATAACAGAAATCCGCAAAGATGAGATTCGAATCGTTCGAGCCACTAATGTCCTCCAAACAAAAAAGTCACCCCATCAGCCTCGATACTAATTACTAGCATATAAGTGCACGAAATCTTCCCAAATAATCGATCCACCTCTAGATACACCACCATCGCTTCCACTCTGTTCTTGTCCCGACATCAATCGATACTTTCAAACCCAAAACTGAATTATCAACAAAATTGCAGCAGACCAAATAACTAACCATAAATCAAAGTCCGAGAATCAATCTCGTAAAATCCAAATCGCCACCTTCTTTCCCGGCGCATGCAATTTCAGAACTGCCTCACGTCAAACCCAAATCTCCCCCGCAAGTTAAAAACAGTAACAAAAAATGCTCAAGAAGCTAGGCCTACAACCCGCCATATGCGGCGAGCCAAAACACAGTCGAAGCTCCAGACGGGAAAGACAGCGCTCCCTCTCTCCAGAAAAACAAGCAACAAAAAACAAGCAACAAGCTGCTTTGTACAAGCAATTCGTTCCCTTCGCCGGAGCGCGAACGGAAGGGCGGGAGCTTGCGAGCGCAAGCGATCGCGGAGCAAAAGGGAGCAGATCGAGGATGCTAGGGCAAGCGGAGCGAAAAGGACAACAACAGAGGGGAACCTTAACAGAGGCGTTGCAAAGCTAGAGAGAGAGAGAGAGACCGACCTCGAGCGACGGCGACGGCGACGGCGACGAGCGAAGGATGCAGAGAGATGATCGACGGGGGTAGAGACGAGAGCAGACGAGACGAGGCGAGGCGAGAGAGCAGACGGCGATGGCGATGGCGATTGGCGACTGAGAGTCTGAGAGAGGGAGATGGGCTAGCCCAGAGTGTTAATGGGTCGGCCTGACCCTACCCAATCCTAACGAAACCCCAAATTTTAGGGCCAAATTCGAAGAAGATTAAGGCCCGACCCCAAAATACCCCAAATTTTAGGGCCGGACCGGGTCGGCGCGGGTCGGGCCGGGCTGGCCCGGGTTTTATTGACACCCCTAAAATCCGTGGCTAATTAGCCACGGATTTAGCTACGGAAATAAATATAGAAGGGAAATGCGGCGATACTTAATTTCCGTGGCTAAATCCGTGGCTAATCACGGAAATTAAGTATCGCTGCATTTCCCTTCTATATTTATTTCCGTAGCTAAATCCGTGGCTAATTAGCCACGGAAATAAATATAGTAGGGAAATGCGGCGATACTTAATTTTCGTGGCTAAATTCATGGCTAATTAGCCACGGAAATAAAAATAGTAGGGAAATGCGGCGATACTTAATTTTCGTACAAAAATAAATATAGTAGAGAAATACCGTGATACTTAATTTTCGTGATTAAATTCGTGGCTAATTAATCACGAATTTAGCCACGAAAATAAATATAGTCAGACAATGCCGCAATACTTAATTTAGCCACGGGTCGCTAAAGCTTTTTATCTACCCCCTCACCCCCGATTTTCTCTCTCTCTCTCTCTCTGTTCTCTCTACCTCTCCCCACCCCCAAACCTCTCAAATGGCCCTGATCTCCAAAATCCAAACCTCTAATCGACGCCTCATCGTCCCAAATTCGCAGGTCCGATCCCGAATCCGGCGCTGCTTCTTGCGGTCTCCGGCGATAGCCGCACACGTCTAGGGTTTTCCCGGCTCCAAACCTGATCGATTCGGCGGCGCTTCCGACGATGGACGGCAACAATATTCCCCTCCCCAGGAGACCGACAAGTGGTGCTCGTACCAGTACCTGGGGAGGACCGGCTTCGCGATCCCCACCACCGCGTCTCTGGCCGGCACCGAAGTCAGCGTCGACGAGATTCGGTCCGCCGCCGCCGCCTCCGATCGCCACCCGCCCTCGATTCACGCCGCCCTCGTCTCCGAGCTCGATCCCAGCGGTACGTGCGTGGCTATCTTCGAGTTTTGGGTTGTGGGTCGAGCGTATCTGAGATCGCTTCTGGTCGATGTCTATCTGAGTTCGCTTAATACCTCTCTGAAAAGAACGTGGGTTAGGTAATTACTTGCTAAGCGTTGTAATTATGATCATTGTTCGCCTTACGAAACTAAGGAAAGCGTGATCCTTTGGCTTGATTGATTTTGGGTTTGACTCTTCATGCTCGAAAGTCGAAACTTTAGGACGTGTGCAGGTTAATTTAGTTCTTGTCACTATCGAATTTTATGCTCTGTAGAGCAAGCAATTGTCTATCAAGGTGGATATGGAGAGGACTATGGCGGAACCACCAGTGAATTTCAGAGGTACGATCTGTTGAAGTCGCCCTTGCTTTTCGTGAGGATCATGTTCGTGTGTGTAATAGTTAGCTGAAACCATTTTGCTTTTCCACAAGCATACCCTTACGAGTTGCGACACATAGGTTTCATTCATCTTCTTGTGCTTCCAGCCTTCTATACTTCAAATTACTTATGTTGTTGCTATAGTTTCGGTTGTCCATCCAGCTCAGCTGAAACATCTTCATCTTGTTATATTTTCCGGTGCTCTCGCCCTTTTGTTCGATCAGCTTGCAAGATCATGACACTTCTGTGGTTTGCAAACACTTAATGAATTAATTTCTTTAATTTTCAGATGCCTATTGGTACATTCATAATGTTAATAGAATACTTTCGCAACATTTATATAGAAAGCTTGGTTTACTGGGAGTGCTACTGTTAACCTTGAGGAATAACCAAATCTCGCCGGCCAATTCCTATGGGAAATTTTTTTTTTTTTTTTGGTCTTTCGAAATTCCGTAAAGTTTCAGTCTTGTCCTGGAATAAAGCACGTTGTTGTGTCTCTTCAGGAAAGTTGGTATATCCAAAAAAGTGAGTTCTGTTTTTCCGAACCTTTAGTGGAAAAATGACTTTTTCCTTTAATATTAGGGATGGAGATTTTTCCTTTCATTAAACTTCTAACAGGGTTTAGGTATTATACTGGTCGAGAAAACGCAAGGTCCCTTGTTGCCCTGTTCAATCAGTATTGTATGGACCAAGTACATGATTTGCAGCATGCTTTCATGCTGCAATTTGCAACCCATTCCTTTGTTCCTTTATGTTATTTTTCAAGAGTGATAACATTGGCTTATCATCCATTCGCTGTGTGGAACTATAGCAAGTACATTTTAGTAAGGCCAACAGAATCCCATCCTGTATTGAACTCGATTAGAAAAAGTTGAAAGGTGTCCTTATTGCTCACCATACGAAATCAGTGTTTGACATGGTTATAGTGACACTTTAACGTGTAACTGCAATTATCCTTTGTGATAAGTTATGTTAAAAAGTCTTGCCTATTGCATTCTGAAACAATGGTCTACTCACTGTGTCACCTTATGTAGGCAAATACTGGATGAAGTAGAGATACGGGAGTTGCTAATTGATCATGTTGGTCATTGCTGCTGTTGGGGAAGTCGTCCTGCTTGTACTTGGAAAATTCACGCAGTTGAAGATTGCAATGTTTACGTGGGAACTTTAGATACCTTTATAGAGGAGAGAGAAATTATAAGAGAAACAGAACCCCACCGTGGTGGCAACATCGACGGAAAGGATAAGGATTGTGAACTGGGAATTTGGGAATTGGATCTGAGGTCTCAATTTCCTGTCCTATTTGTTCCCTACAAGGAGACACGGACAAAAGTTCCTCATTCTGAGACTATAGAGAAATGCTCAGGTAGTTTTTAGGATAAATATTTTTTTTACCACTTTTCATATAAGGATGTTTCCATTTGTGATACTGCCCATCTTTATCCTTCTCCTCTGTAGCGTTTTTCTGTTATCTGCTGTGTGCCGTCTATGATGATCATTTTATGTAGGTTAAAAACAAGATATAAAGGACGAGGAAGTTCTACTTATGTCGTGATCATGATCAGTCATGTGATATGTGGCTTTGTTTATGAACTAGCATAACTTGAGGAAAGTTGTGCAGGTTGTGATGGACGGGGAGATCGAGTGTGTCCCACTTGCAATGCAGATCAGGAATATGGATTTTATAAAGAAAATCAGATGACGCCATGCCCTGGTTGTCATGGAAGAGGTTTAATTGCTCATAGAGATGGATCTGATTCCATGTAATATCTTTGCTCTGAAGCTTGCAATTTTGATTACATATTCCTAAGCTTTATCTTGTTCTCGGGTCATGAGCATTCTTTTCCATCTAGACTAGGGCTTAATGTCTGCATAACTCAAATTTATGGTGCAAAATATCAGTCCCATCACCATAGTTCATGATGTTGGGTGAGATGATTTCTCGCATTGTTCTCGCTTCTCGCCGGTGGTTTCCGCCCCCTCGGAGCTCGGAATCAGTGGCTTCTCGCATTGTACCCTACTATGCATTCTTCATAATGGGAGATTTACCCTCTTGACAATTATGTCATAGCATCAGAGTCTTCGAATTGAGCAGTTCTTGAATGTCGTTTGTGAGATTATTTTCCAAGAAATGGTGGATATTACTTGAATAATATCAACTTTGCATACAGTCCATGATATCACTGGAAATAATCTTAAGTTGAGGATTTTATGTTGTAACTTCTTGTTGGTAACCATGTTCATCCTTCCTAATAAATATGTCTTTTGACTTGTAGGTGAAGTGGGCGTATCTTATTATGATCTCTGAATTAAGGGGGAGTCAAGGTAGTTTCATGCTCCTATATTATCGTGTCGACCGTTGCTTTTTGAATGTATATAGGATCTGAATTCAACAAGTAGAAAATGTTAGTGACTATTTCTGTTCTTATGCTTGTCATTTAGGTAGGTCTCATGACACTGTAATTCTGATCTTATCAAGTTTTCTTCAGTCAATTGGTTGTTATTGTTTGCGTTTGACAATTAATAGTTATGTGAACTGACTTTTTATATTACACTCCGAATTTGTCACATTTACATCTCCATTTCCTCGAACATAGATGGTACTTGCTGTTTATATCTATGTCACCGAATGGAATTGCTTGGTCTTTCAACATATTGTTAGAATTTGTTGAGTTATTTCGGATGCTTGAAAGTCATGCAAAGTAAATACCTTTTGTAAGATGTCTTGGAATTAAATCATAGGTGCAGCCAGAATAAGCATGTACACACAAGGAAGCAGTTAGAAGTTACATGATGGATTCTTTTAGGTCTAAAGTTACCTGAGAAATTTAGCCAAAGTCAAGTATTGAGATACGCAGCAAAAAAAAAAAAACTCGAGATAAATCCATTACATATGTGACAAGCGATAGATAATCTCATTTAGTGTTTTTACAGGAGATTTGGTTATTAGGCGTTGATACCAAACTTGCACATTGCTATAGTAATTTTTCCTTCACCGGCTAGTTAATTTCTCAGCTGTCTCAGAGAAATAGACGGTTTTAATTGTTTCTTGGTTATATGCCTGTTAATTTCTCAGCTAGAGAATAGAATTTTTTTCGTAACTATTTTTTGTTTTTTCGTGGCAAATTAGCGACGAATTTTGCCACGAATTTTTTTTAAAAAAATGAATTTTTTTTTTGTTTTTTTGGGGCAAATTAGCAACGAATTTTGCCACGAATACAGTTCGTGGCAAATTAGCCACGAATTTGTTTTATAAAAAAAAATAGAATATTTATTTTGTTTTTTCGGGGTAAATTAGCGACGAATTTTGCGACGAATACAGTTTGTGGCAAATCAGCCACAATTTTTTATATAGAATATTTTTTTTGTTTTTTCGGGGCAAATTAGCGACGAATACAGTTCGTGGCAAATTAGCCATGAATTTTGCCACGAATTTTTTTTATAGAATATATTTTTTTTGTTTTGTCGGGGTAAATTAGCGACGAATAAAAAAATTAGAACATTTTTTTTGTTTTTTCGGGACAAATTAGCTACGAATTTTGCGACGAATACAGTTTGTGGCAAATTAGCCACGAATTTTTTTTATAAAAAAAATAAAATATTTTTTTTTGTTTTTTGGGGGCAAATTAATGACAAATTTTGCGACGAATACAGTTCGTGGTAAATTAGCCACGAATTTTTTTAATAAAAAAATAGAATTTTTGTTTTTGTTTTTTAGGGGCAAATTAGCGACGAATTTTGCGACGAATACAGTTCGTGGTAAATTAGCCACGAATTTTTTTTAATAAAAAAAATAGAATTTTTGTTTTTGTTTTTTCGGGGCAAATTAGCGATGAATTTTGCCACGAAAAATTAGCGACGAATTTTGTCACTAATTTTTTTTCATCGCAATTTAGCGACGAAAATTGAAATTTTTTGTCGCTAAATTTTGCGACGCCATATTAGCGACGAAATTTTTTTCGTCGCAAATTCATTTAGCGACGAATTTTGCCAAATTTTTCATGGCAAAATTCGTGGCTAAAACCTTATTTTTTGAAGTGTTCCTTTACTCTAGAATATTTTAGCCAAACCTTGTGTCACCAGCAAATCACGCATCTTCATGCAACACATACTAAAACCATTCATTCCGTTAAATTTCTCAACCTCAACTTTCGTGGGAGCCATCACAATCTCAGTAGTAGAAGCAATCAGACAAGCAATCACCAAAAGCCCCAAATTGCTCTAAAATAAACCCTCGACTTTGATACCAATTCGTTACTATTAATACCGGACCGTGCAATGGACCATGAATCATAATTGAAATGATACCGAAGTAGCAACAAATAGAGAAATGACACCTCAAGATTGTGTCCAAATTAACGACAGAGAAAACACGCTCAAGATTGTGTCCAAACGATACATATCCATGGGAGAGGAGCTGCGAAAAGTTCCATTATGATCTAGAAATTACATGCATCAACCCCTCACTCTTTCAAGTGTTTCTCATCCTTAGATTGAATCAAGCAATCTTAAAAGTGTTTTCTCATAGTTATTTCACTAAGAAATATCACCAAATAGTACTCATCTTGGACGCTCTAAAGCTTTAATTTCATTGAAACATTGGCTACGTTTGTTTTACGAAAAATGAATGATTCGGAGAACATTTTCTTAAAAATGATAGCTTGTAATGGAAAATATTGTCATTATCGATAATAATTTATGTCTAAATATTTTCATGAACGATGAAAATATTTTCATTTATTCATTTTTGTAAGTGTTACAAGTAATATTTTTAGGAAAATATTTTCCAAATCATTCATTTTCCATGAAATAAATGGATCCTGAAAATAAACATTATTTTCTAGGGGACTCGGTTTACTTATATTGAAACCTTGAAAATAAACATTCCTTTTATAGGCAATGTGTCCAAATGACCATTGAAATTGGCAATAACTTGAGACATTAAAGCAACATATTCTAACTTTTCTAGTGGAAAAATTTCTTAAGTGTATTCCTTTGTCTTGCACTAACAGTATTATTTGGAGGAGGATTTAGTAAATTTTTTATGTTAACATTAGAGAAAATATACGATAAATGAAGTTTTGCAATTAGAGCTATTGGCATCTCAAATTTTGCCCCCATTTTCAAGAAAACACTAAGTTTGCATGTTTTGAGAGACTGTTTAGTTATTCAGAACATATGGGTTGAACTCGTTCCACAGCTTTGTCTTGAAGAGTTTTTCTCGATGAGTTTATCTCAATGGTTGAATTCAAATCTGGCTTATAAATCGAGAGTCAACCCCCACCATGATTGGAGCATTGTTTTTGGTGTGAGTATATGGCTTTTCTAGCAATGGCGAAACAAGTCGCTTCTTCAAGATAACTTTGTTTTCCCTTCCAACCCCGTTTAGGTAATACAATCACACACAGAGGAAATCATAGCTTCTTCTATGGTCAAATTGTTACCACGTGGAACATTTACTTCTCCGAGTCACTTGGGACTCTCCACCTTTGGTATAGATTACACTGAATACGGATGGAGCATCTAAAGGTAATCCTGGACTTGTAGAAGCAGGAGGCTTATTTCAAAATGAAGGGAGTGATTGGCTTGGAGGTTTTACCTCATTTCTTGGAATATGTTTGTCTTCACAAGCAGAATTATGGGCATGATGGTTGGGACTCACCATTGCAAAGCAACATGGTTTCGATAAAATTATCATTAAAATGGACTCCAAAGTTGTCACTGAACTTGTCTACCAAGAGCATATAGTAGATAACACTGGACCGACTCTACTTAAAGATATAAGAAGACTCTTGGGCTCTCATTTCGAGTTCAAAATACAGCATAACTTTCGGGAAGGCAATCAACTTGCTAATCTTCTTGTTAATATTGGAATCGAAAAGCGATTGGATACTACATCCTACTTGTAGCCTCCTAGCGAATTATCTCATGTTTTGTTTAGTGATGAAGTTGGAATAGTAGACTTTAGACGTTAAATTATTTATTTTATACCTTTATCTATCAAAAAAAACAAGTTTGATTTAGAATTGACCAAGGGTTTGTAAAGGCTTGATTGATGAGATACAAGGCACAAAACACATTTTAAACGTACAAAATGGGTTCAATTCGTCAAACGAGTCCTTTAACACTATATTGCAATTTTAATTTGGCAGTTGGTTTTTACTCTTCGGAATTGGCTGCCCAACTTTCGTAGTGGCAAAATGTTAAAGATTTCCAAATTCTAATTACGCATCATGAAACTAGGGACTACAAGCAGTCGAATGCAAGGAAAATTGGACCAATCGGATGTGGGACGAAGAAATACTCACCAGTCAAACTTCAATCAAACTTGTCGATACTAAAAAAAGGTCTCAAAACTCAAAGCCATACCTATAGGTCTCAGAATCAAATTAAACATTTTAGACCTCTAAGTTATGGTAGATGATGATTTTGGAAGTATTAAGTTGCTGAAGCGACATTTGGTTTACAAACCGGAGCCTTAGGGGTTAAAACATAACAAATCCTAAAAGGGTGGGGAGGCTTTAGACAACCAATTGGAAGGGAGGTGGCCTAATCTATGGGCCTTCGCGATCCAGTATGCACAATCATTATCTTCACGTGGAGAGAATACAATCTTGACACCCTTTAGCTTGGCCAAAAGGCCCTTACAATCCTAAATGAGATTTGGGATGGGCTGAGGCCAGTGGTCTTCACTTGATAAGAGCTTCACAATTGATAAGCTATCACTATGGACTTCTATTTGCAGATCAAAACAAACACTCCTCATATCAGTTCTCAGCTTCACCACTGACAAATGTTGAAGACCTTTGCGAATAGCTACGGTCCCCACCATTAAAGCTAATTGAGCTCGGACATGCTTTGCAAAGCCATTGACAAGTACACCATGGACATTTCTATATACTTCAGCAACGGAGGCCTCCGAAATGTTGTCCACCTACGATCTGTTCACATGAAGCTTCCACGAGCCTCGGCCTGGCAGCCTCTGCTTCGCAGGTGAAAAATAACCATCTTTTCATTCCCATATTACATTTGGAGACCGAATGTTGAGACCTCTGTTCACTGCAAAGGCTTCATCCAAATCGACAGGGGAATTAGCTTGTGCGCTTGAAAAACAAATGAGTTCCCAGCTTTCCATATCAGACACAGGATGCTCGCTAGTAATTCTCGT